TCCCATGACAGTCAGTGTGAAAATACGGGTCGTGGTGGGGACACTGTTCGTGCAGGCAGTGGCCAGCTCCTCGGGGGAGAGTGGCTTTGCTGTCCCTTCAGCTCTACTCAGCTGTGGGGCTCCTGTCACTGACCAGCAGACAGAGAAGGTTACATACAGGCTTGTGTTTGAACCAGGCCACATTCATTCCTTTGGTCAAAACGTGGTCTCATGGTCACACTTTTCAGAGGAGTCTGGGAAATGCCTCGCTGTTCCCTGAGGAAGAAAAGACAACATGCTGTTATCAGTGGACAGATAGCCCTGGTGTGTATTTTAGCGAGATTGCTGCCAACTCATGGAAAAACTGCCTCCAGCACAGTTAGAGGCCTGGTCTCTTGGCTCTTTTGTCTGTTGCCAGTCAGTACTTGGACCTGTCTAACTTAGAGTGCTTCCCTCTTCTTCTGACACGGATGTGACAGAACATCCCAGCTCTAAAAATGGTGATGCTGGGATGAATTGCCATGTGGAGTGGCTCTGGAGCATCCTTCCTGGTTCTGTGTGCCAGGCAGAGGTCTGGGGACATCTCCCAGGTGATGACAGCAGCTCCCTGACCTGGCATATATACTTTGGTGAAGTACAGGTTTCAGTGGTAGAAGGTCAGCCTTTCATTTAAACTTTTGCAGTTGTATATATATTTAATGCTTATTGAAAATAAATCACCAACATATCAAATATATAATTTCACATATACTTAATATAAGACTAATTTCTAGGCTATACAGATACAGATGAATAAAAGTGGTACTTGAGTGGCAAGTTGGGGGACATTGTACGGGGTTTTGCTCAAATGCAAAGCCACCTTGTTTGATGTGTGGTCCCAGAGTGTTCTACCCGTATGGCCTCTGTGTCTGCTTCCTTCTCTGTAGCATGCCCTCACGCCACAAGCCAAGCACATGGCAGTTGGTATGTCAAATGATTGACAGTAGAACCTGGCCCATATCACGTGTTTGATGACGTTAGATGCTTAGGTTATTAGGGAACACTGTACTGTATCATTTAATTGTGCCAACAACCTTGTGATATAGGTGTTATTACTACCAGTTTATCAATGAGCAAAGCTACTTACCTGGCTAGCAGCAGAACCACACTCTGACTGCAGGTGTGCCTACTCTGGCTCTGGCAGTAACTCAGGAGGCCACTCTAGGAGGGCCCCATTTGTTTCTGAGCCTCACATGCTGCTGGAATATTCTTGCTAGGTCAGATGACAGAGTATGACAATTGTGTAAAATCCCAAAAGCATTTTCCAGAATAGCTGCCCCAGAAGTGTGTAAGCTTCCATTCCGAGACACTGTCACTGGCGTTTGGATTGTTATTCTTTTCATTTTTGTTTTCCTAGTCCCTAATGACTCGGGAAATTTCACATCTTTGAATATGCCTTTTGGTCATTCTGTGATACGATATGTTTTAACTTTTTATTCTCAGCACTTAGTAGAGCTTTATTAATGAATTATAAAGGGATTTTTAATTTTTAATAATTATTGCGGGCTGTAGTGCCATGCACTGACATGTGGAGGTCAGAGGACAACTTAGGAGTCAGTTCTCTCATCCCACCTTGTGAGTCTCAGGGACCAAACTCAGGTCATCAGTCTCAGCGGCAGGCACCTTTACCGACTGAGCGATCTTGGGGATTTTTATATCCTGCACACAAGGTCTTTGTTGAGTATATATAGACTTGTAGCTTTAGGAAAGGAAATGTTTTTAAATGCATTAATTGCTGAATGTTGAATTGTCAGCTTTCAAGCTTGTCCCCCTAGCCCTCACCCTGCTTTTGAGAGTTGGAAGAATGATCTACAGGTAAAGGAGATTCATAGACAGTCCAAGTCCCAGCTCCCAGGACATTGACCTCTGCCCTCTGAGCCTTATTTTTATGAAGTGTGAAATGGGGATAGTAAATCACCCGCCTCTTTGGGCTGTTGTGAGGAGGCAATGAGATAGTGATGGTAACACTTTTCTCCAGGACCCAGCACCTAGCCAAGTGTATCAGAGCTGAGGCGTGCTGTTGACACTCTTGCTAGGCTCTCAGTGCCCCCGGCTGCACATCCGACTCCTTCTGTCTTCCTCTGTGTGTATAGCAAGCACCAGCTTCCTTCTGTTGTGTAAGTGAAACCTTGGCTGCCTCTTCTACATCCCACTTCCTGGTCCAGAACGGCTCCTGAGCCAGCCCCTTCTTATCTGCCCAGATAACTACTCCATCAGTAGCCCTTCTCCCGATGCTCCAGCATATTCCCCTGCCTCCGCTTCCCTATTGTCTACCCTATATGTGCTGCTGCAGTTACCAAGAGTTGCCTTTCTAAGCCGGAAGCTTGAGGCTCCTGGGTGGGTTTTTAGGGGAGACCACTTTGCAAGGACAAGGCTTGGCTGTCAATGGTCTCATCCCTGGTTATAAATAACAGTCTCTATTCTTAGCCAACCAGCAGTTCCTGCTGCCCTGCCTTCTAAAGCCTCCATTGGGCCTCTGGCTGTCCATACTGAAGACAGGCCACTCCTTCGCCTTTGGCAGGGCCCAGTCCTTTGATACGTGATCAGAAAATTCAATTATAAAGCCAATTACTGATTTCCTGAGCTTTACAAGAAGACATGAAAGTTTGATTAAGTTTGAATTCCTCTTTGGCTAATTGCCAGCCAAGGCCAAATGGGTTGTGGGAGATTTTTGTTCTTGATTCTGGTATTTTGTTTTGTGACAGTGTTCCCGGGATGGGGGGAAGGTTTTGTTATGGTCTTTGTGCCGTCCTTATTTGCTGAAAGGCTCTTCCTCTGTTGTGATGCATGAGATGTAAATCCCCCAAAGACTCGTTGCCAGGGTGACAGTCTCCGGAATTGAGCTCAGCTAAACAAAGTCCTTCAGATTTGAAGGGAGCAGTGTTTATTTCCCATGCAGAGGCAAGCTCTATCAGGCTGCAACAAGGCTGTGTTCAAGGACGCCTGCCTGCATGAACAGGGGTACAAAAGCAGCTCACTAGTCTCCTCTGTGTATCTACCGCAGTGTGGCTGGGCTCTGGCTGCTTCCCACCCAACACAAAGGGATATGCAGATGCCGAGGCCACAGAGCATGGCTTCTGAGGGTGCCTCTGACCAGATGGTTGCCTCGCCCAAGAACCTGCAGTGCTGGCCCTCAGCCAACACTCAGGCCTGGGATAGGTGGAGCTGGGGAGCCACCCTGTCACCTAGCTATTTCAGCCACTTCTGGGAAATAGAACTGGCCTGTGATCCGAGCAGACTGGGGCTCCAGGTCTGCGTCTGAGTTGGCTCTGGGGTACCATGTCTTCCCCCTAGGAATAAAATGAGATGACCCCAGCTTTCCAGAATTTGCCGCCATCCTACACCTCTTCTTGAAAGGTGTGCATCTGTGCATCAACTAAGAAACTCAAGACTGCCCTCCCATGCCTAAAATTCCCCACATAGAGATAGAGCCCTTCCTGTTTCCTAGGCTTTTAGGGTTCTAGAGCCCTGGTTAAAGTCTTAGACCCCTGGAAGAAGAAACGTCTGCCCACAGAGATTAGCTCTCAGCTAATGGGCACTAAGGACAAAGCCCAAGTGGATCAGATAAACCTCACCTGCCTCCAGGCTCCATTGTATCGCAAATGTGTGACCTCTTCCCACAGATACATTGGCAGTGCTACACACCTTACAAAGCACCCACATTCACCCGTATCCCCTCATCCACAGCACCCTCATGAGCCAGAGTATTCAGTACAAACAAGAAAGCCATAGCTCAGAGTGGCCAGCCTCCTTGGCCAGCATCACAGAGCTGGTGGGGACAGATTCTAGAGTTGGCCTTGGAGTCCTGAATCTAAACCCGAATCTGTTTTGCTGGCACACAACCTCCAGCTGCATGGATGTCTTGGGCACAGCACACCTGCTTGATTGGACTGGCTTGTTGGTGTATGGGTTTGTTTTTCTAAGGTGCGAATTTTTGTAAGGTCTGAATTTGGGTGGGTTTTTTTTCTTTTTTCTTTTTTTTAATGAAACTGTACAGCTTCCTAGTAGAGTTGTAATTAGGAAATGCTGTGTTAGTCAGCAAGGCAGAATTGAAAAATAACCAGGCGGTGCTGGATAGAGTGCTTTCCCCCTCCTTCAAAATTCCAGTTTTGCCACACTGAGGGAGAGGGAGCTGTGAAGGGAGGGAAGATGTGTGCAGCTGAGCAGGGCCAGGGAGGGTGTGCGCCTGCTCTGTGGAGAATCCAAAAGCAACAGTAACGGTTGTGTAGCATGCTTTTTCTGTATGTGCAAACGAGAGGTGAAGTGAGGAGGGGAGAGGCCTAGGGGACCAGGCCTTTGTCAGGAAGGGATTAGAGAGCCAGGAGGGTAAGTTCCTGCAGAGAACCCTCCCTGCCCTCACCTCCCTGCCAGCATGTCAGTGGCAGCAGTGACAGCAAAGGCAGTATCAGCGCCTCCATGCTGAGCATGGATATGCCAGGCTGTGCCAGGTACCCTGTTCTGGTTTCGTCCCAGCCAACAGGCTCCGTTTAATAGCGATATGTTTATCTTAATGTGAATCCAAGAAGTAATAATTGTGCTAGCCTTAAAGGAAGGTTACGTACAGGCTTTATCTTGGTTAGGAGTGAATTAGGTAAATGAAACGTATTAAGAACATAAGGGCAGGCGTCCCACAGATTGAGCAGATACCCTGACACAGGGACAGAAAGGGCTTGGAGGCTGAGGAAGCTCACTGTATCCACACCTGTTCCAGAGGAGGAAGCTGAAGCTCACAGAGATTGAGTGACATCCCCATGTCACACAGCTGATAGCTGGCAGAGCCAGCACCTGATCCTACAGCAAGATGAGAGCCCACGGCCCAGGGAAACGTTCTCATCTTTGCTTTTCAGGTGCAGTCTCCAGCCCTGACCTCAGCCTTCCCAGAGCCGCCTGCTGCAGAGACTTTTGGGGGGGGGGGGGGGGGGGGCGGGGGGGGCTATGACTCAAACCATGCTCTGGGGAATTGGGGCCTGAGCCGTGCTTTCTCAAATCCAATGCACAGAATCCCCTGAAAAGCCCTTTCAGAAGGGGCTGGCGTGATGCTGCATGTGACTGGCAAAGCTGTGATTGCCAAGTTTTTGCTGGGCCACCACGGTCCCCAGCTCCACCCAACCCAAAGGGGCCAGGCCTATCAGCACTCTTCTCTACAACTCTTATTCCCTCTCTCTCTTGTCTCTGAATTACTTCTTATAATGAGCTATTGACTTGATATATCAAATAACTCAGAGATTTTGAAAGCCTCTTTCTATACACTGAAACCTCTAAGCTACACTCACACCTAATTTATGGAGACCTGAGATTGGGCACATTGTTAAATGTGTGTAAGGCTCAAGCAGAGGGGATGCTCTGCACAGAGCAGCAGGTATCAAAAGGGCATCTTCGGCAGGATGGAAATCAACACAGTTTATGTGAGGAGAGGGCAGCCTAGCCCAAACCCAGAAACCTTTAAGATGCCCACACTTTATCATTGAACAGGGTGACTGTAACCTGAGGCTCTAAGGCTACAAGCCCAGAAATGAAAAGCATGTAGTTATGCATGCATACATGTGTCCACACCCATGTGTAACTGTACAACCATATGTGGGCACATTCCTGTGAGGTACGTGTGTGTGTGTGTGTGTGTGTGTGTGACACACACACACACACACACACACACACACACACACACACACACACACACACACACACGGTACTTCAGGCATCTAAGCTGCTAGCTGTGGAGTCCAGTTCATAGCACCTGAAGTTTAGAGTGGAGAGAAGTGCCAGGCAATGGTCACGCCAGGTGGTGGCTGCCCTGAGTACCCACCTGACTCTTAGCTACAGCACACCCTTAGCCAACTGTACAACATACAGGAGCTGACACCTACTGCCCACTCACTGTCGAAGTGGCTTCTTTCCTTCCTTCAGCCCTCATAGCACCTAGAGAAGTTGAGAGCTTAGCAATGGGAATGCTGGCGTGTGGCGAGTCCCATAATCCGCAGCAGATCTAAGATTACCCACCTCCAGCTTTCTCGTGGGTGAGTTTGATAAATGGGGCATATTAGGAGTAATGACAGGGGTGTCCCATGGATTGGACCAAAGTTCCGATGACAGGACAGGAAGGAATAGAGGTTGGAGAAGCTTGTCTGCAGTGCCTGTGCCAGCTAGGCGATACAGTTGTCAGCAAAACGGGTTGATGCCGTTGGGCTGATCCCTGAGAAGCAAATGAAAATACATGCAACTTGGCTTTGTAGGTGGTGGTGTGTTCCTGAAGTCCTGGATATAAAGGGGGCTCAGGCAGGTAGATTGCTTGAGACCACCAGCCTTTTATGTAGCCTCTTTCAGGGATTCCAACTGAACCAACAAGAGGAATTGTTCTTTTCTTTTTTTTTTTAATTTTTTTATTAAGAAATTTTTTATCCATTTTACCAACCACAGTCCCCCTCTCTTCTCTCCTCCCGCCCCTCACCCTTCCTTCCCCAACCCACCCCCTATTCCCTCCTCCAAAAAGGTAAGGTCTCCCATGGGGAGTCAGCAGAGCCTGGTACATTCAGTTGAGGCAGGTCTGAGCCCCTCCCCCTGCATCAAGGCTGTGCAAGGTGTCCCACCATAGGTAGTGGGCTCCAAAAAGCCAGCTCATGCTCCAGGGATGGATCCTGATCCTACTGCTAGGGGGCCCCTTAGAGGAATTTTTTTCTTATATGTTATTTTACAAATGAGTTTGACTTTTCTCCTACTAATTTCAACGTTGCAGCGATCTACAGTTTTAGTTGGAGAAGCTAGGCACACTCCAGTTCCCTAGCATGCCGGGGTTTGCCTGCCCTCTCCCAAGGGGCCACGGTCTCACCTCTCTGCAGCCAGTGCAAGGGCACAATCCCTCAGGTTCCCAAGTACTCTACTGTTAGCCCAAGTTGTATGAATACAGTTGACACTGGTGGACAAGGAACAGAGCAAGCAGCACAGTGCTCCAGACCGCAGAGCTTGGGCATGATGGAGTATCGTGTGGAGCTGGGTCTGCCTTGGTTGCACCAAATTCCCTCTGCCTCCAGTGTTCATGGACCTCAGTGAGCATATCACTGTGATTTGAGTTTTCTTTTGAGGATTGAGCCCCATCCAGAGGAGGCATTGGGGAGTCCAAAGCACTGGCTGTGGAAGTCACCAAGACTTCCAAGCCCTAACCCTGGCTTATAGCTTTCTCCAGCTGGTAGCTGTTCTGCACCGTGTCTCAGTGCCCTGGGAAGAAGATACTAGAAACCAGGTTCTCTCTATCTGCCCTCTAAGCTCTTAGCTCAGAAATAGAATTACCTGTCATGTGTTATAAGGGGGAGACTGATATTCAGTTGTTGTTGTTGACTTTCTTGTTTTTGAGGAGTTATTTTTAGCCAGACCCCAGCTGTACATGCTCCATCATCCTTCCTTCCATGTAGAACACAGCTAAGCTGTGGTGTTGGCTGAGAGATTTGGCAGGAGACTGTAGGTGTCTGCAATTTGTAAGGCAGTGGCCATTGTAGTGAATTCTTTTTTTTTTAATTAAAAAAAATGGTATTTACTTAGAAAGTATTCAGAATGTCAACAAACAGCTGCTTTTTTTTTTTTTTTTGCAATATAGTAGTATTCAGTTAACAAGCATGTATTCCATATGAGCTATATCAGAGACAACTGAAGATGAAAAGAACCACTGTCCCCATGGGGACAGTCATCAGTAGTCAGTGCTGCATGGCAGCAAGAGTCTGCTGTAAGATCCCAGGACAGGAATAACTACACATTTGGTATCGGGGTAACTGTTCAGTTTAAAAACATCTTACTCACTTCAATTTTTTTTCTTTAAAAGGAGTTGTGTACATGGTGGGTTGAATGTTTTATAGACAAAAAAAAAAGCTAGAACCAACTTGTTCTTCCTCATGCTCTTTCTTCTTTCCTTTCCTCTTTTCAGTCTTGACAGCTCTCCTCCCTGCCCTCCCTCCCCCGCACCAGGCCCCATATGTCTGTGGGCAGCACTGTCCTTTTGTATTGTTCCTTGCACTCAGCCATGTTGTTCCACATCTCTCCCAGTCTCTTCACATCACCAGTGGCTAAGCCGAGACGTTTTCCTTGGATCTGGGGACCATGCTTAGAAGGCCAAAGAAGGCCTCTTGGGGCACTCGGGGGCCTGAGCTTCCTGTTTCTCCTTTGAGAGGGACCTCCGCTTCCCTCACGAGTGTGTCTGTCTTTACCATGTCTTCAGCTTTCCTTTCCATCTCCTGAGTGCTTCTTGGGAAACTCTGAGAAGCTGACTGGACATCCGGCACTGCTTCCTGCATTCCTCCTGGAAGTTTGCACAAAGAATTAGTGTGGTGACGTTTTGCCTCTCAGCTTTCACAGAGTCACCCAGTGCCCGTCTGGCACTTCCTTGCCCCTGTGCTGTCCCTGGGAGCTCAGTATGCTGGTCTGTAGTGAAGTCTCACTTGAGCGCCTGGCTGCACTAACTCACGAGAACTCCTGGCCCTGCTGAGAGGCTATGCTGGTCCCCACCTACTTGTGAAGTTGTGGTTTAGACTCAGAGGCTGACAGGTCTGGCTTCCAAACCCAGGTTCTGCTCAGAGTTGTTGCTGGTTCACGTGGAGGTGCGACTAGGGGGATGTGAGACCCTGAGTGCCCCATCCTTGGGTCCTACCGACGGTCTTCCAACAGTGGCACCTGGGTCTCACATCCCTCTTTCCAGCTCTCGGACTCTCCCGGTCACTGTGGCATTCTGTTTCTCAAGGATTCTGTACCAGCCCAGGATCCCTGTGCCCTGGCCACTTGGTAGTTCAAGCTGGTGACTTTTTCCTGAAGAATCTCCACCGCCACCCGCCACTCGCTTCTCCCCCTGCTCCTGGTCAATCTGAGCTTGTTCCTACCTCACTCCTGCTGAGTTCCACTGGTAAATACCAGTGCTGGAACTTAGAGCTGGCCACCTCCTTCCTGTCTCCGCCTCCCGACTTGTATGAGGAAATGCGGGCAGCATCTTTTCTTTCTCCCTTTTTTCTTTCTTTCTTTCTTTTTTGAGAATTTTTGAAATTTTTGTTTTATGTGTATGGGTGTTTTGCCTGCATGTTCTGTTCTGTGATGGACAGTGCCCTGCGTGTTTAGGGCTCATGTACCGGCTACTTCTCTGAGGGTTCTTTGAACACGACTCACCCCGACCTGCCAGTTGTTAGGACCTCTTCCTGTGTTACTGATTTCTCCACCACGTAACTGGCTCCTCACTTGACCCAGTGTCCTAAGCTTTGTAATTGTGGCTTGCCCTGACATTTCCTTGTTCTTACATGTCCCAAATTATTACAAGCAACTGCTTTATAATTAATTGAATGATTTATAAGAAGTAAACACTTTTTCTGCCTATAAATAATGCCACCCCAAATTTCCACAAAGATCAAATGCTGTCTCAGCACCCAGCATGTACCCAAGACATGATGCCTATTTATTCTGCCTGGACTTGGGTACCTCTGGGCTATCTCAGGGAAGTTTCTAGCCTGAAATGGAACTTCCAAGGCCAGTCAGGGTGAGGTCAGTAGAGAGGGCTTACAGGAGTCCCGGCAGCCTGCCATGCTACTTCTATGACTTCATCATGCTTTTGATGTGCCAGCCCCAGCCATGGCTGGGATAAGATCCATCAGAGAGACCCAGACGCTACCCTCTCAGTCTTTTCAAGGCTGATACACAGAAACCCATCCCTCAACCAATTAGTGTGATCCAGGGCCCATTGTGATACTCAGAGGAAAGCCAGGTGTTGACACCTTGCAGAGTATCACCAGTGTGCCTAAGGAATCCCCTCCAGTCATTTCTTGAGTGACAGACACTGATGTGGAGAAGATTGAGAAGCATCATCCAAGAAGGGGCAGAGCTTGAGCCTACATCTTGGTGGTGAGACTTGGGCAGGTCTGACTTGCTCTTCTGACATGCAGATGTCTAAAACCCTGCATGCCAGCCACAAGGGTGCAGTGACAGTGGACAGTGGACAATGACCTCAGAGATGATCCAGCATGACGAAATTCAGAGTGGTGTGGTATGGCGTCTAAGCTCCCACCGACCACTACCGCCCATCCCTGAGACTTGATGGTTATCAGCCGGTGTTGAACTTGTCCTCTGCATCTTCTCTACTTGAGTGGATTGGCCTCCAGCTGCAGGAGCTACCTTCTCTGTCTGTCTAGTGCAGCCTTCATTCCGTCGAGCCTGTCAAGAGGGAGAGATGTGATAGGAGCCCTAAGTTTCCTAATCCTTGGGTTCAGTGTTTTTTCAATCTTTCTTTTCTTTTCCTCCTCCTCCTCCTCCTCCCCCTCCTCCTCCTCCTCCTCCTCCTCCTCCTCCTCCTCCTCCTCCTCCTCCTTCTTCTTCTTTTTTGTTGAGACAATGTTTCTCTTTGTAGCCCTGCTTGTCCTGGAATTTGCTCTGTAGATCAGGCTGGCTTTGAACTCAGAGATGCACCTGCCTCTGCCTCCCAAGTGCTGGGATTAAAGGTGTATACCACCACCACCTGACTTTTCAATCTTTCTTTATCAAATCCACTCAACAAATGTTTATTCATCACTTACTGTATGCCTGGCTTATTGAATACAAGAGGGTGCCTGGCATGGGTGTTCTGCTGGAGAAGAATAGACTGTATACAAAACACAGAAGGTGACGGCCACATTCGGTGCCACCTCACAAGGGAGAAACAGCAGTCCTCACCCAGACGTCTGTGAGACCCTGTCTGGAATTTCCTTGATTCTCAGTGGCTTTGCCTGGAGTTCTGGAGGCCCAAATTCTCTGCTGAATCCCAGTCTTGTCTCGGCCTGGTGAAGCCCTGGGGCCATCCCAGTCACGTGGCTTGCTGGTCCTTCCTCAAGCTGCTGCCCTTGTAATGTTGCTGAGCCCAGGAGGACATTATCACCAGTGAGAATCACCCCCTTGTTCAAAACACGAGCATTTTAGCTGATTGAACTTGACTTCATGTCTCAACTTTTGAGGGATCTAGCTATTGGTTCCTGAGGGGAAAGGAGCCCCTCAGGATAGACTGAAGGATCATTTGTTAGTTCCTCTGAGGGAGGGCAGACATAGGCAAACACTTTACACTTTCCTGCTCACATACATTTTCTGCAGTTTTCATTTGCAATATTCCAATCCAGATAACTTGGGAGGAATTCTAAAGGGTCTAGAATTTAGATAGTAAATCAAGAACCTCCCTGCAGACTGTCCTGTGCCATATGTGACTCACTTCTATAGTGTCACTTGCCACCCACTTCAGACTTACCCCAAGCTAATGACCTGCTCTGCCCACGTGTAGGCTGCACCCATGTGGTTGTGCACTGTGCTACTCACAGGTAGATGCCAAGGGAAGACACGCCCCCTCTGCTGGAACACAGCCAACACACTTCTCCAGGTGCTCTGGAGGCATCAGGAAAGCCGCAAGTCCTAGAGTCCTGCTTTCCTCTCATAGCTTATCCGCTCTTCCGGGTTTCCTGTTGTGGTGAGCACAAACCTTGAGAATGAACTCTGGGCAGTTCCTCCTCTGCCTCCTTAATCCTACCTCCAGTTCACCCTGTCACTGCCTGGCCCTCTAAGGACAAAGCGCTAGCATTTGGCACCCCCCTCTCGGCTTGTGGCCTGGAATACATCCATTCTACAAGCAGTTCCTCATAACTGAAAACAGCAGAGAACAGAGCGGAAGCGAGCCCTGCCCTCTCAGAGCTTACCAGCTCCCTGGGAAGAGAAGGTCAACAAGGAGACAAAACTGTCTACTTACATACTGAGATGGTTCAATTAAAGAAGTGAAAAGCGTGCTGAGATAAGAGCAGAGAAATCTGCTTTTGACAGTTTGGGGAGTGGGTGCCGAGGAGGCCAGAATTACCCTTCTCTTGTGGGTTCTGTTTAGACTGAGACAAAAGAGGAGGAGGAGACTCTTAGAGCCTGGAGATCTGGAGGAGTCAGAGCAAAGGCCTGGAGCTCCATCTGGGCCAGTCTGGAACTGGCATCAGGGGCCTGTGCAAAGCCTGGAGAGGGGCAGGGTAGTTAAGTGGTAGGAACAAAAATGGCTGTGAGTGACACACTGGAGGTGGGGCTCCGGAGCCTGCCTGGCCTGTCGGTAGAGTGCAGGACGATGAAGAGAAGTGTGTGTGTGCCACAGCCCGGGGTAGAGTGCAGGACGATGAAGAGAAGTGTGTGTGTGCCACAGCCTGGGGAGGGGACTTGGGAGCTGTGTCGGTTTTAAGTTGGCCAAAGTCCCACGGATTGGGGACTTGGATGACAGACATCTATTGTCTCGTGGTTGTAGAGGCTGAAAGTCAGATCAAGGAGGCAGCAGGGCTGGTCTCTTCTGGGACCTTTCTCCACGTGCTGTAGGAGAGCATCTTGTCCTGTGTTTTCAAATGGTCTTCCTTCCCTGGGTGTCTGTGCCTTAATCTCTTACAAGATGTCAGTCATGCTGACAAGGACCTTCATGATCTCATCTCAGCTGCACCTCTTTAAAGATTGTACCCCGGAACACAGTTGTATTCTGTGTGACGGGGGGTTGACATCACAGCACATGAATTTTAGGAAAACCTGAATCAGGTTCTAACGGGTCTCCCCTAATGTGCCCATGGTAGATGGAGCAGAGAAATGGCCACAGTTCCTCGAGATGCCACAGCAGACTAGCCCCAATGCTACCTGTTCCCTCTTTGTTGAAAGGGATGACTACCAAAGAAAATGAGTGACTGTCCTAGTGAGCAAGAGGAGAGGAGAGGGGAGAGACAGGGCACCTGGCCCCAGCTGCCCCCGCTTCTTCCCTTCCTGCCCCTAGCATGACCCTAAGTCCAAGAAATGTCTAGAATGTGTGCTGAATTACATGGAGTGGCCTGGCCACCCCTCCAACTGGGTTTCTCCAACCTCTGGAGCTAGTGGACAGCCCACCCACCCTGACTGCTGAGCTACGAGAGACACAGGCTGCCGTCACTCCCTCCACCGTACATTGAGGATAAAAATAACTACAAGGAAGAAAAGGCCTTCAGGAAATTATCTTGAAATTCAGAAAACATGAAGCCAGGTGCCATCTAATTAAGATGACATTTTAAAAGGGGGGAGGGGAGAAGAGGCCTTGGTGGCATTTTAAATTGCAAACTGATGGTACAGCCTCTCTAATTTTGGTTCTGAGCAAAGTTTCCAACTGGAACAGAAAACAGGACTTCAAAGACACTGCCTACCACTGGCCATGCAGAATGAGTGAAAAGAGCAGCATGGGGCCATGGACACAATGTGGCCTACAGGCTGGGCAAAGGCTAGGGACCGCAGGGGGCTGCAGCCCTCTTGGGGGCCTGCTGGGAATCACTGGAGCCACTACTGGGAGAACTCCTTGAGAGCAACAAGCGTTTATCCAGCCAAGGCCACTTTGGGGGTACCAACCCACTGAACAGAATGGCCTGGGTTGATCCCGGTCTGGTACCCCACCCCAGTCTCCCCACGGTTCTTGTATATAGCATACTCTTGAAGGACTTCCTCCTGATGGCCCCCAAGGCTTACCAGGTATAGAAGGCCTGCTCCCTCCTTCTAGAATTCTGGGAAAGCTGGCCTGGTGTGTATAGAGATATGGTGGGGGACAGAGGCTGTGAGCAGCCCTCTGCCCTCGGGGGCTCCTGTACGTCCTCTCTTGTCCACCTTAGTGTAGTGCATAGAGGTGTTCAGTGCAGCAGGCTCTGCTGTTACCATTATTGCTTCTCACACTGCTAACCCTGGTGTGCACACGTGTACACACACACACACACACACACACACACACACACACACACTGGAGAGCACCTTTCCAGACCCTGGGTTCCTGCAGACACCCTGGGAGGAGTTCGTGCATGGAGGGCACCACAGTTGACAGCTAAGGACGCAGTCACACCCAATCACAGTGACTTGCCCAGGTCCTGCAAGACCAGATCCTAGAGTTTTCCACAAGTTTTTGAAAATGACTCTCCCCTCTACCACTTTCCGCCTAGGCTACTCACCCATCTGGCTCCTGGCTCACCCCTGAAGTAGTCACCGTCGTCTTCCCCTGTTTTGGTCTGGCCCCGGCTCCTCCCTCCATAGGAGAGGAAGCAGCGTGCAGAGTGGCAAGTGAGAATGGGCAAGGAAGTCAGTGCAGGTGGAAGAAAGATGGCAGCCAGTGGGCACTCAATTTCTTGCTCTTGCACATGCCCCCTGAGTGCCAGGGATACACTCCTGGTACCCGGACCAGGCTGGGCACTGGGGCAGTGCTCCTAATGTGATGGAAGCAGGCGCTTTAGTAAGATGGATGAACATGAAATTACTCACAGTTTTTATTTATTTTTTTATTTTTTGTTTTTTTTTTTTTCGAGACAGGGTTTCTCTGTGTAGCTTTGCGCCTTTTCCTGGAACTCACTTGGTAGCCCAGGCTGGCCTCGAACTCACAGAGATCTGCCTGGTTCTGCCTCCCGAGTGCTGGGATTAAAGGCGTGCGCCACCACCACCCGGCTACTCACAGTTTTTATTTCAAGTTAGTCATTCATTTAAATGTGTTGGACATCTTTTTAGGGATGGAGCTAGTGATCAGCAGTAGAATGCTTGCCTACCATGTGCCAGGCTCTGGGTTCCATCCCTAATACCACTACCACCAAAAAAAATCTCTAATTGATATTCTAGGTTGTACTATGTTTCCTGTTGTTCAAAATGAGTTTAAGTAGAAAAACATTTAATTGCAGATACTAAGTCAATTGCAGTTAGAGTAATATAAAACACGGCAGAAATTTAACAGTTATTTATTGCATGCCTACTGTGTACCATGTAGTGTTCCGTGTGAAACATGACTTTTTCCCTTTGGGGCATGGAGAACATGGACAGCATAGCACAAATACTTTGAGACTCCAGAACTTACCTGGGTCCTCATCAGCTGACATGTTACTTTGTCTGTTTCTCTTTAACGTGATAGAGGGTTGTACCCAGGGATCTGTGATCTAAGCAGAGGCTGCATATATACCATGCAGGGACAGAAGCAGGTAAAGAAGAACACAGAGAGGTATGTGGGTAAAGGGGCCACTCACTCCCACAGCAGACACCCCTCCTGCACTTGAACTGCCGGAATAGACCCTGCCCAGAAGGAATTGGGATGGGCAGGCCCCCCTTCCCCCCCCCCCCCACAGACATGGCCCCACCTCCTCCACCAGGCCTGGGAAGACAAGACAGACCACAGAGGGAAGCGGTGCTGTTTGTGGACTGTGGCGTTGGCTCGGGAGGCAAGGGTTGGACTTCTACTGCCTCCTGGCCAAGTGACATTCAGCAATCCTTGTAACCTACTGAGCAGAGGAGATAGGAGAGAGGGAATGCAAGAGAGGTGGGAGCAGAGATACCAAGAATACCTTGGAGAGTGGAACCTGAGCCCAGGTGGCATCTGATGGCCTGGGGAGTGGCCCTACAGTTTCAGTGAATGAATACCAGCTTGAGCCGAGGCCAGTCTCCCCAAAGTGAGAGGGGAGCACCATTACAGACTGTGGTGCTCCTGGAGCACCGTGCTGTTCTTTTGAAGCAGTGAGCCCGTCATCCTTCCCCTCCAGGTCTGTACCCAGGCCCTTCTTCCCTGAGTGTCAGTGTCGGGAGAGTCAGTACGAGAAGGGCCAAGTGGGGAAGGAAGCCATGCGCCTCATCCCAGACCCCAGAGAAAGTTGTCAGGCCGGGGCACTCCGGGTGGAACAGCTCTACTACCCACATGCCCCTGGGCTGGCCTAGACACGGTCCTCCTTCCTCCTTGCCACTGTGGCCCGTAGACGCGTTCTTAGCTCCCAGGTCTCCCATGCTTCTTCTTCTGGAAAGGCCAGGCATCGAGAGCCCAGGGAGTGGGCATCCACCCTTGGGAACCTCCCACCTCACCAGGGCGACAGGCTGCGACCTCTGCTGGTCCTTGGCCACAGCCGTCGCTACCTCACCTGTGTTTTAGCTGATAGGACCATTTGTCGTCCTTGTTCTTCACACCTGTCACTGCCCCGCCTGCCTCATGTAAACACTACTGGAATCAACATGCTAACCCTGGGTCCCCAGGGTAGGCACCACCCGGGCTCTGGGAGCTCTGTTCTCTTAAGGCAGGGCTGAGGAGAGCAGGTGGTGATAGCAAGAGAGCCTCCCAGGTGCCAGCTTTTCCTTCAAAAGACCTGTCCAGAGGGAATTAGGTACACAGGCCGCCATCCACCCTCTCCCCTGGACATGGCCCCACCTCCTCCACCAGGCCTGGGAAGACAAGACAGACCACAGAGGGAAGCTATGCTGTTTGTGGACTGTGGCGTTGGCTCGGGAGCCAAGGGTTGGGCTTCTGACCCCTGCTGGCCAAGGGACATTCAAGTCTTGGAACCCAACCATACTTCAGTTCCTCTGATAATAAAGTAGAGGAAGTAGCAACATTTGGTGTCTTTCAAAGAAATGGAGCCCACAGGCTGGGGAGATAGCTCCATCAATAATGCGCTTGCTACAGAAGCGTGAGAACCTGAGATCAGCTCACTAGCATGCACATAAATGGCCAGGCTCTAAAGTGCATCTGTGACCTAGCACTGGGGTGGGGTAGGGGACAGATCCTTGACCTCACTAGTTATCCACCCAGTGAGCTTCCAGTTCAGTGAGAGATCCTGCCTCAAAAGAATATGGTAGAAATCATTGAGGAAAACACTTGGCGTCAACATCTGGCATCCACATCCATCTGCCTGAGACTCACCAGTGCTGGCTGTAGCTTAAAGCCGCTCCTCTCAACCCATGAGACTGTCCACCACACCTCAGCAGATGGAAGCCTCAGCAGCTGTACTTCCCGTTGCTGACTGGACTTACTCAGGGCCCCTTGAGGCACATGCCACTAGCCTGTAAGATAGGATGGGGCCAGAGGATCAGAGTCACAGCAGCAGCAGGGTTTAGTAGCAGGGTTCTAAGTGAGAGAGCAGCTCTCTCCTTCAGCCTCTCTCAGGCTGTGTCAGGCACCTGAGACCTTGTGTCCCTGACACGGAGCAAAAGGCCTCGGGCTGGGAGCCTGCACCAGACCATAGGGTCCTGCTAGAATTAAAAATAGTGTCCTGCTGTCACTGTGGTTATTTTTGTGGGTGCCTTCTATTTAGACTGCTTTCTACAGATTCTTCATTTTCCGTAGGAATATGACATTTCTAAAGTACAAAGATGTGTCTAAGAAAGCTAGTATTAGTCATGAGCTGACGCAGGACTTAAGCCGACGTTATGAAGGTGTTGAGGAATGAATGATGTCTGGGAAAGAAGAGTCTGCTCTGCTGGTTTTCAGACTTTTTAATTTGTGCTTGTATGTGTTAGACTTTATATGTAATTGTGTTAGCAGTTAGAACTGAGGGCTGGAGAGACGGCTCAGCAGTGAAGAGCACCAACTGCTCTTCCAGAGGATCTGGGTTCAAGTCCCAGCACCCACAATCATCATCAGTAACTCCAGTTCTAGGACTCCAACATCCCCTTCTGGTCTCCACAGGCACCAGGCATGCACATGGTACACAGATATACATCCAGACAAAACACCCATACACATAAAAAAGAAGTTAGAACCAAGGAAGATTTAAATATTTCTTCATTTAAAGTACTAGTAATTCCTGGGCATGATGTTACTATGCTTAGGAGATGGAGGTGAGAGGTTCGCTTGAGCCTCAGGGTTCATGACCAGCTTAGGCAGCAGAGTGAGGTGTGGAGGCTGGGGAATAACTCAGTGGTAGAGTGCATGAGCCAGGCCTGGGGTTTGCTCCAGAACTCAAAAAATAATAAATATGATAAACTCATCATGATATAAATAACATTTTTATGCATTTTCCAAAAATATCTTAGTACGAAGAATTCCATAGTTTATTATCTTCACAAGTGTCTTTAAACTCTTGCCTCACAGAAGATGGCTCTGTCTGGTGTGACTTTGTACTTGCTCTAATGTCACATGTTGTTTTGCTATAGAAAATTGTGTCCCTCACACAAATTCTTCGTTTAAAATGAAAGGAATATTTTACTAATCATTTTCAGAAATTGTTTAAAATTTACCAAAATATGAAGTAGCTTGTGTGTACATGTTGTCATTCAGGAGTGAACCCGGCGTCTCGTGTGTGCTAGGGGAAGCTCTCCCCCCTCCAGCTGCACCCCACCCCAGTCTTCTTCACTCTGATGTAGGCTCTTACTAAGTTGTCCAAGCTGGCTCAGGAGTCTAGGTCCTCCAGCCCCGACCCTCTTTTATCTTTTTCTTTTTACATTTATTTTTTCACTCATTATTTATTTATTAAAAGAGAGTGAAAGTGTGTGTGTCACATGTGGAGGTCAGAGGACAACTTTTGGGAGTTGGTTTCTCCTTGTACTAAGTGGGTCCTGGGGATCAAACTCAAGTCCTCAGGCTTTAACAGCAAGAGCTTTACCCACTGGGCCATCCCACTGGTCCAGCACAGAAGCTTCCGGCCTCTCTGATGAATGGTGTGGGAGCTGAGTCTGGAAGGGTGTCAGTGAATAATCTGGAGAGAGGTACCACTCTGCCAAACTGTCAGCCTCACATCCTGCCTCTGCCCACCCCAGCGTGTGTGTCGAGCCCCAGCATCCATCCCTTCCCTTCCCTAATTGGGGTGCTAATATCTGCTGGCGAGGCAGCCCTAATTAAACCATTCACCATTGTTACTCTGTATTCTGAGGCTCTGAGGCTGGCCATTATCACTTTTTCCCTTTGACCAAACTCTGTGAATAATCTGAATCTGCTCTTGTTCGTTTCTTAGAAATTCGGTCTATCCAATTTGAGTTCTTTTCTCCTTTCTGAACTCAGAAGAAAGGATGCAGAGGGTGAGGAGGGAGGGCAGCCTGAATTTGAAATTTTCTGTCACGTTCACCAAAGCTAATTTGTGGATGTAAGTAGCCTGCTTGATGTCTCAGCTGTTCAGAGTGGGTCTGCGCCCATCCAGGAGAGAAGGGCATGCCGGGTGAGATTATCCCAAAGGTTAGACAATTGGAGCTTTGAGTATGTACCATTCCTCACCATACTTAGGACCTGGAGAGGCTGGGTGGCAAGCACACCACTGCCCGTGAAGGTCAGACAGAGGAATGTTGCTGAACAAAGTGAGCAGGGCCTTCATCCTGCATCTCACGACCCTCGCCTGCCCTCACACACCTCCCCATTCCTCCAAGTCCCTCGTGCCTGTTTCACAGAGGTTCTAGTGGGGCCAGAGCCTCAGGCTCCATACCTTGAGGTTCAGCATTTGTTGTGAGAGACTCTGCAGGAAACGTTTCCCATTGCCTTCACTGCTCCAC